ACTTTTGCAAACCCCTCTGTGCTCTCCTGAGGGAAAGACACAGATGGCCCTGGTATGACTATGTAGATCACACCAACTTCAGGATGCTTCCAGATGTTTCTGGAGTCTCAGGGCCCCAGGACCACATTTCGAGAACTGCTGCTCATAGGGGAATGATCTCAACTCTCCCTTAAAGGAAAAGAGTGCTGGAGCCGTTTTTTGATCTCCCTGGTTGAAGAGCCCCTCTCTTTGTAGCAAGGTCTCAGGCTTAGAACCTTCTCTCCCTCCCTGGCCCCTCCCCAACCCCACCTACGCACCTAGGCTTGGAGGCTAAGTTCAGACTGAGAGTCGCACCAGCGTAGCTGAGTGTCAGGGCCCGTGCAGACGGGGCGGAATGGTCTGCCTCAACGCGTGAGACGGACAGTGTTTTTAAAGACCTCAGTTGAGATGGGTTGTGTACGGGACTTGGAATCAGTTTTCATGGCCCCTTGTGAAAATTTGTCCTTTCCATGTTGACTTAGTGATAGTAGAACTCCCCTGGGCTAGTTGGAAGGAGATAAACCTTGAGTGGCGACCACAGTCATGTGGGTCACAGTTGTAAGTGAGACTTGAGCCCTGCACTTTTCTGTAGACTAGACAGCAGCATCTTGGTGGTGGAGGTGGGGCCTAGTGCCCTGGGAACCCCGGCCTGGGCTCAGGTCCTGGTGGAGTCTGCATTCGCCTGGGAACGTCCATTAACCCAAATGGGAACAAGACTAACCCACCTGCCCTCCTCCCAGGCTCCAGTGGGATGAAGTAGATGAAGGCACATTGCCAGGTACAGAGAGTTTCTCTGATTCTGGTGTTTCAAGAATCAGTGTAGAGTTAGAGAACTGTTAGCTCATTTGCAGGGAAATGACACAGATCACATTAGGTAATTCTTGAAAAAGTTCCTTTTATCTTTCCAAGTGATGGTAACAAACTCCATGTGTACAACTTAGTGCAACCCCCAGAGTAACTTAACAGGGTGAGTTAACAGCTGACTTTTCAGGGAGGGTTGGATCGCTGTGGATGACTCATGGGGTGCCATGCTCATGATTCCATTCCCTTTATATATAACTCAAGGACTGTTCATAACGACACAAAGGCCACGCCATCACATTTTCCCTGGAGGAAAACAATGACAAAGTAAGGGGTGTGCCCATGTGTGGTGTGTGTGCATGTGTGGATGTGGAGGAGGTGGGGGACAGCTTGTAGATGGGCAGGTGTGTTCTGGAAGAATTTAATCTCCAGTTCTTCTAATGGAGCTAGTCTAGAATTATCCCCACTGAATGGGTAGCGGCTGAATCCTCTAAAGGGTTAACCAGAACTTGCCTTTGACGAGATGGCTGTGCCAGCAGCCCTGACTGCCTGAGAGCAGGCGGGAGGGAGAGCAGGCTCTGCCAGACCAGGGCTGTGGGGCTGGAGTCGGGAGCTTACATCAGAAGATGGATGACCGGGCCCGGTCCCGCCTGGAGACTCACCTGTCTTATCTCCACTGTTACAGTGTAGGTGTGGGGTGGGCTTCTGGGCATATGTACGCGCAGGGCAGCCCTGAGAGCTGGCAGATGACTGGTGTGCCCGGTGGAGCTAGCTCCGGGAGGCAGGCAGCGAGAGCATTCCCACTGCACCCAGGTAGGAAAACCTGAAGGTGGGCAAGAGGAAGGAAGATGGATGAATGCTCACCCTTGATGTTCAAATACAATTTTATGCTATTTCTTCAGAAGTATTTAGAGAGATTTTATAGTTGTTTGTTTTTGGTGACTTAATCATTCAGTAGAATAAATATCTATGAAATTCCAATTTATTAAATGGTGTCTAAAATTTAAAGCAGCAGTCCGCAGGCGAGGCGCCAACTTTTTTTTTTTTAAGTATTTATGATAACATCGAGCATTTAAAAATCAACCAGAAAAATAGGCTTGATTCTGTTTAATATTTTATATGATTGGACATCTTAAATCAATACTGTTTATATTTTATAGCAATTCTGTGTTTATTCAAAAACCTAATTCTACTGTGATGTTAATGGAAAGACTTTATATGGCTTTCATTGTGTTGGTTTTCAGTGCTAATGACCACAATTCAAAGTAAAATAGTGTTTTGGTGATAGAGGTAGACACAGATATGAAATATGAAAGAATAGATGATTTTACTGATTGTAAAGTGTTTATTCAAGAAGAAAATGTTCTTTATTAGGGCCATGGAGAAAGTAACTTTTTCAAGGGTTTAGGAGAGTTTTCTGCACTCCGGGGGGGTTGGACCTTGTGCCTATGGGATTTTTGGAGCAGCCTAAGCTACCTTTTAGCCTGATATGTGTGCTAGAAAATTTTCATGATCATGTTTTGTGATATGTAATAAATTCAGGGTGCTGTGCTTAAGCTTCATTTCAGCTTATGTTTGGAAACAACTGTTTCCCTCATTCCTGAACATGGCAGACACCCCTACCCTCTGCAGTACCCCCAGCCCTTCCTCTCCTCCCCCCACCCCATGTGAAAGAGTGAAGTCAGTTGCTGACTCTTAGAAGGTGTGTTTTTTCCTGTGTGGAGCAAGCAAAATGTATTCATGATTTCTCAACCTCTGCTTTTGTGTCTGGGAAGAGTGACGCTTTCTCTCCTCCTTTGATGTCTCCTCAATAAATATGTTGTCATTATGTGTGTTCGGAAGTGGCATCCTGGGCCACCTCTCAGCCTTCTTCATGATTTATGTTGCAAACAAGTTCTCTGTCCTGTGTCTGTTCTCTGCACTACCCTAATTTGTGTACCACAGAAGACATGCTGGAGACAGTTTTCGTTTTTATTATACAATTATGTTATATGTGTATTTCAGTGAAATGTCAACCCGTCAACAGAGGATGATGTTCAAAATTATCCAAATAAATAGTTTTCTATTTCTTTTCATCAGACCTAGTCTAATCAGTTGAATGACAGTAAGTAGGGTCTGCTAGTATCTGAACTCAGGATCACTCCCGGCTGGGCTGCCCTGCAACAGAGATTCATGTACATAATGGACAAGGCGTTGTTGACTCAGCGCATTGGCGCCGATGTTTGTTTTGTGGGAGTGGCAGCAGGCATCTTGAGCCTGGCCTCTACCTTGTTTGGGATCCTCAGATATGTAGCAGACCTCTCTCCCTGGTGATCTAAAGTCAGACCATGAAGCCCTGGCCTAGCTTCTCTCCCCTGATTATTGTGCCGAGAAAACACCGCGTGAATGAGCTGTGGCTGTTTAATATTGCTCGCCACGACCCTCCTTTCAAGCGCTTTCACTCACTTGACATTAGAGTTGTCTCCTTGCTGTTTCCATGAGAATGGCAAGTGGAGCCACCTCTGGGCTGAATAATCCCTCAGGTTTCAATGTGTGGTCTTGGGGATCCTGAGAGAGGGAAAGTGTGTTTGTGTGTGGTATGATGTGTGTGTGTGTGTGCTTGTGTGCATGCACATGCGTGCTTGTCTTATGCCTGTGGCCACAGGGACAGGAAAGCAGGGAAGACCCCACCCCCACACCCCAATGACTTGCTCTGGGTTTGGCCTGGGGCATGGGACTCTCCCCTCCAGGCACCTTAAAGCTCTGACACCAGGCAGCTGTGTCACCCTCACAATTCATGACATGGAAAGACCTGCTGCTCCTCTGTTCAGAGAATGGTTCAAGCCAGACCCCAGCTCACATCGTTCATGCAGGATCACTTCAGAGGCTGTGTTCTGAGCGCCTCTTGAGGAGCTCTAGCCTGACATTGCACTGTAGCTCAGCGTCTGCCTGAGACAGTTCTGGGCATTCCAGTAAAGGGCCCCTTTCCGTCCCTGCTCCGCCGCTGGGCGTGCGTCAGTCATTCCATGTCTATGTCCTGGGCCCGCCTGCTGCTGGGCTTGTGGCAAGAGGAGAGGGCGCCAGCAGACCACCCTCAAGTCAGAGTGTTAGCTCCGGATGGCGGCCTGCACAGGCTGCCGCACAGGTGCTCGCTCTCCAAGACAGAAAGTGCAAACAGACTGCCAGCAAGTGAGGGGCAGGTGGCCTCAGAGCTGGGGCCAGAGAGGAAATGCCTCTTTCCGATGCAAGTTGTTTTGTAGAGAAGGATAACTGTGCTGTCCCTGCGAGTGTTTAAGTTCGCATGCTGTGATTCTTCAAATTAGTGATCCAAAAAATCCTCTCAGAATTACTGACTTTATCTTCCCTGTATCTAGTTCAAAGCCTCTAGAATGTTTCCCTGATAAAGGGACACTGGGGGCCCCAAGTGAGAGAGGCAGCTGTGAGGGCCTGGGGAGGCATGGAACATTTATGAGGGGCCTGGTCACCTGGTGGGCCTGGTACCACCTCAGAGGCTGGCGAGCCCCTTGCAGTGTGCATGCTCTGCCAGAGGACCTGGCATTGCTGAGTTCCCAGGCCAGGGCGGCACGATGGCCACGAGGGCGGGCCCTGCACAGCGGCCCAGGTCTGTGTGCGTGTCCTCCTGCTCCGTCACGTCCTGAGTGTGCTAGTGGCTGCAGTGTGTTGTGTCACTCCCTCGTTCCCATGGCTTGTTAGCAGAACCACCTGCCCTGGTGGCTGTGTGGTCTGCTTTCCCTCTGGCACCTGCACCAATAGCTTCCTCGTCCTGGACCCAGCCAGAGAGTCCCTGCCACCCACCCCATGGGGTCCAGACATGCTTCTTGCCTGTCCAGGCTCCGGGAGCTGTCCTTCTGTCAGCTGTCACTTCGACATGGGGGCATGCTCTTGGCCATGACAGACCCCAGTCCCAGTCACCACACGCTGTTCCCTGCAAATGGAAATGTTAATGGTTTTGGGTTATGTGCCTCAAATATCCTCTCGTAGGACCTTCTTGAATCCCTGGCCACCCCCAACAGCCCTGAGGCTGTGGGACGGTGACGTTCAAACAAGTGGTCAGTTCTCTGGGTTGTCCTTTGCAGACACTTCCCCTCCCACAGCTGAATCAGGCGGGAACCAAGCCAGGACCCAGACGGGCCCAAGGCACCCGTGTTGTCTAATCTGTTTTGCCATCTTCATTGATCTAGGCGGGGTTAAGGACACTGCACGACATTGGGCCAGAAATCCGGCGGGCTATATCATGTGATTTGCAAGATGACGAGCCTGAGGACACAAAACGAGAAGAAGAAGAAGATGTGTTCAAAGTAATTATTCCACGACTAGCTACACACTGGCCACTTGGAAGTAGTGGGGCAGGCCTCCAAGTTGCGCAGTCAATCCACAAAAGAGCTTGGAGAATACAAAGCAGCTCCAGGGCCTAGAGGGGCTTGCAGGCATAGCCTCCCACAGCAGACCCTCCCCATTCACCAGCACCTTTTTCCAGGCCTGCTCCTTCCCTGAGCTGGCCCTTAGGCCCCACACTGACAGCTTCAGAGGAGCTTGACCACGGCCACTGCCTGGTACGGATGAGCATCTTGGGTCCTTCTAGCTGCAGCCTGTCCACACTACCCCCCTTCTTCCCTGGGCAGCTCTTTGATCTCCAGCCAACCCTCAGCCTCCTAGCCCCCCAGCCCAGAGAGCATGCCTACTGCCCAACCTCAGCTACCGGGGCTGCCAACCAGCCTGCTGGGTATGTTCCCGCAACTTGGAGCAACTTGAAGAGCCCACGAGAGTGACAGCCAAGAGCTTGCTCCCCAGCTCAGGAATCGGGTAACTTCCTCATTTCAAGGGGGACCAGCTGCACACAGCCACACTCACCCCCATCACTGAGACACTCAGATTGTTCTGCAGGGATCCTACGGAGCTTACCTAGAATTTGTATTTCATGTAGAAAGAATTACCTAACATAGCTAGCGTGCATCAAATACTTGTTAAATTACCTGGTGTTGTCTCCCATTATTTTGCAGAGAAATGGTGCCCTGCTTGGAAACCATGTCAATCATGTTAATAGTGATAGGAGAGATTCCCTTCAGCAGACCAATACCACCCACCGTCCCCTGCATGTCCAAAGGCCTTCAATTCCACCTGCAAGTGATATTGAGCAACCGCTGTTTCCTCCAGCAGGAAATTCGGTGTGTCATAACCATCATAACCATAATTCCATAGGAAAGCAAGTTCCCAGCTCAACAAATGCCAATCTCAATAATGCCAATATGTCCAAAGCTGCCCCTGGAAAGCGGCCCAGCATTGGGAACCTTGAGCATGTGTCTGAAAATGGGCATCATTCCTCCCACAAGCATGACCGTGAACCTCAAAGAAGGTCCAGTATTAAAAGGTAACCTTTAAAATGTGTTTGCACTCGGTACTGTAGTGTCAGCCCAAGACGGTTCTTCAGCTCGATGCTCTGGCACGTGTGGGAGCTCCCCTGCTTTAGAACGTGGGAGCATACAAGGTCACGGCCTCTCGGGCACTGGCCACGTGATGGCCCTAGGGATAAGGGGCTGTCTGCCTCCTGTGCCCTGCTCTGTGGAGAGCTCCTTAAAATGGCAGTTCTGCAGACTCGACCCTCTCCAATTTCGCCAACATGCTTTGTGACAGGGACTGGCAAGCTTTTTCTTACCAAGGACGTAGCTAAACTTCAGTTGTGGACACGGAAAATGTAAACTTCGTATATTCATGGGATGAAATGTTTTTCTTCTTTGGATTTTTTTTTTTTTTTAATTTCAGTAAAAATGGTAGCTTGTGGGCCATACAAAACCAGGGGCCAGCCGTGTTGGACTGTGGCCCATAATTTGCCAGGCCCACTCTGGGAAGTAGGCTGACATCTGCATTTCAAATTTTGTTGGCAGTATTTAACTTTGATCTTCTCCCTCCCTCCCATCTTATGCCTTTCCTGGATAGAACTCGCTATTATGAAACTTACATTAGGTATGTGCGCGCCGCCTGTGTTTCTGTGTTAAAATCTGTGTGTTGTGTGACCATCTGGCCTCTCTGACTACTAATAAGAGAAATTCCTTTGAGCCATTGAGGGTATTGGTGCTTAGAGCTTTGGACTCAGCACTTAGTGGTAGTTGCTTCTTTCTAAGAAAAGGAGTTTTAGGCTCCAAAGCTGCAAAGGCTCCATAACTATCTGACAGTCCTACACCAGGCAGCCTTACAGGTTAGCCCTTGCAGGGTCCACGGCCGTGCTGGGGGAGTCCGCCATGCACTTAGTTATATCAGATGGCAATGGTAGCAACTTGAGCCTAAAGAGGGTGGGGAGAGTGAAGAAATTAGAGAAAGCAAAGGCCCCCCTTGGAGACACATGATGTCACAGAGCTTTGGCTGGTTTTCCCAAGGACTGAGGCCAGAATCGGGGGTCCTGGGGGATGTTATGACAGTCCTGGGGTGAGGAGTCTTAGAAAATAGTGGACATGAGGGTCTCTTCCAGGACAGTGTATCCAAATCTCCCGTCACCCTGGCTGGGTCAGATGCAGTGGGGCAGTCAGTGGTAAAGAGCCCTCTTGGTGTCAGGCTCTGAATTCATGCTGGGCCAGGATAGGAAGGAGTGGGGACCACAGGAGATAGTGAGGAGATGAGTCCCAGGCTCTCTTTCCCCCGCATTGCAAGTGTCTAGGCCCATTTTCTTGCTCTGGTCCCCAAATTACATCTACTCCTTTAGTGCCAAGACCTCTGGACACAGTGGCATGGCACTGTCCAGGGTGCTGAAGCCCCCAGCTTGTGAAGCCCCCCCCCCACCTCCACCCCCAGACACAGCATCATTTCTAGAGGCTTTAATTACTCCAACTCTTGGGGCAGGTGCCCCAGGGGAGAAGCAGCAGCACTGGGGCCAGGACTGCCGGCCCCAGGCTGAGGCTGCAGGATCGTCTGGCCCCTGCCCTGGTGCTCAGATCCTCTCTCCCTACCACAGGTCCGACTCAGGAGATGAGCAGTTCCCAACCATTTGCCGGGAAGATCCGGAGATACATGGCTACTTCAGGGACCCCCGCTGCTTGGGGGAGCAGGAATATTTCAGCAGTGAGGAGGGCTACGAGGATGACAGCTCGCCCACTGGGAGCAGGTGAGGAACCCTGTGGCGCAGGCTGACACGAGGATGCCTCCGGGCACATGTGGGCGACCCTGGGAAGCAAAACAAGAGCGCGAAGTCCAGGCCAGGGGACGCGACAGGAGGCGAGAAAGGGCCAGAGAGAGGCAGAGCGAAGGCTCTTTCTTCAGCCCTCTAGAGTTATTTCTGCCACAGGCCTGTGAGACCTTCTAGTAAAGACTCCAGAAACATGAGCTGGGCCTGCCTCATGGCAGTTTCACCCCTTTCCAGCAATCCCCTGCCTCCTGAGAGATCCATTTGAATTGAGTGGATGCTGAGCGTTCTGACCTGGGGGCTCTGCTCAGCGGCTTGGCCGCCCCATAGCTTCGGTGGTGCCTTAGTGAACAGTGCCCACTGCCTGTTCCCATCCATGGCTCCCTCCTGCAGACAAGGGATATGAAGTCAGAGCACAATGCTCCGCACAGGTGCCTCTCCAGGCTTCTGTCCTAAAGAAAGAATTTTGAGGGTAAGAAAGGCACTTTGCTTTAGGACACACAGCAGGCTGTACAGGGGGACAGACGCCACCTGCCACCCTCTGTAAGATGCATCTTGCCTTGACCCGGGAGGCCCATGAAGCGGAAGTGACCTCTTCCACAAAGTAGCACGGCTGAGCTGTTAGTGAACGTGATTCTCACATTTCCGGGCCAGCCACACCCTGGCCACTGCCCCTGCCCCAGCGGTTGCGCCGTCAGCCTGTCTCAGGGCCTGGCTTCTGGGACCATGGTTCTGAACCAAATGGAATCAGAGTTTCCTTTCTCAGGGCCTTTGCTCACACTGTGTCCTTACCCCATCTCCACTGACCTCGTTCTGCTCGCTCTCTGAGGGCCTGCTCTCCAGAGTCTTGCCTCTCATTTCCCTGACTAGAATTGAAGTGCCACCCCCTACTCCCTCTCCCCTGCGCGCTTCCCTTCCAGCGCTGCCATCTGTGTGTCTGGTACTGGTTAAGCTCCTTGACGGCGGAGACCGTGCCTCAGGCATCTTCCCTGCCCGGCACCGGGCAAGGGGCAGGCACTTAGAGAGGGCTCTCAAGAGAAGGGAGCAGTTGCAACCCACATCTCACCCGGGGCTGAGGCTGCCCCAGCGAGGGAAGTACCAGCACCTCCCTCTTCATAGCCGGGCCACCTGAATCATCCTGTCACGGCCCTTGCCCTCCCTCTAGAATCTTCAGTGAAGCCGAGGACTGCCTTGTTCTCAGTTGGTCCTGCTGGTCCAGGGGAGGTGGGGAGAGGCCCGACCGTAGACGCGGGTCTGTCAGAGCTCAGGGACAGAGCTTGTGAACTTGCACCGCCCATGCTCTTACTCTCTCTTTTGGCTTCTGGACCACCAGGCGAAACTATGGCTACTACAACCGATACCCAGGCAGCACCTTGGACTTTGAGCGGCCCCGGGGCTACCACCACCCCCAAGGCTTCCTGGAGGATGACGACTCGCCCGTTTGCTATGATTCCCGGAGGTCTCCAAGGAGACGCCTTCTACCTCCCACCCCAACATGTGAGGCCAGGTTTTTTTATTTTAGGTGAAGCTTCCCAGAGAGTGGTGCCTCCTCGGCTTCTGTCCTGGGGGCGTGAGGCTGGCGTGGTCCTGCATGTCAGGGACCTTCAGTCTTCAAGTCCAGCCCCCTGGTCGGAGATACCCCGGCTCTCCTCGCCTTGCCAGCGTGTGTACCGTGTGACAGCTCAGCCCACTTCAGCTGTTCTCGACTCTGTGGTCCTAGAATTGCACAGCACGTGGCATCTGCTGAGGGGCTTTATGTGCACATGATCGCTGCCTGGAGCCTGGGTCCATCCTGGAGGGCAGGCAAGACGGGTACTGTGGAGCTGCCAGGTCCTCTCTGTGGACAGGCTGACCATCAGAGAGGAGAAGCATCAGCCCAAGGGCAGAGCTGGACTTGCACTCAGGCCTGTCTTGCAAAGCTCTACACCTCTGGGGCCCCCTGGGGATCCTTGGCGCCCATCTTGCCTCAGTCTCCACCAGGGGTGCTCTCCCTCCTCGCCTCTTCTCCATCTTTTCTTTTACCTTTGCCTCATGTCTGCCAGTGTCTTCTGCTCACGGGACAGGCTTTGGCCTTGGTGCTGACCATCCTGGGGTCTGTGTTCCCATCCTGCTGAGAAGGAACAGGGGCTGGCTGCTCCTCACCTGATTCTCTTGCAAAAGTGGTGTAACTGGTTGCTACCTGGAGCTCTGGGTCACCCTCCTAAGGAACTTATGCCAGGGAAAGAAATGTAGCAGTGGCTTTGGCTGAGCTGTTGATTTTGGACTTATGGGCATTGCGTTCATGGTTAAAAGAATGGCCATATCTGGTCTTTCTGAGGAAGCACAGTTTTGAGCAGGAGTTGATCAGTAGCCAGCAGTAGCTGAGACACTGGCTCTTAGTCCGCTCCCTTCATGCACAGCAGAGTGTGTCTGGGTGGCCCCCGGCCTTCTGCCTCACCCCAGCTGTCATTCTTGATGGGGTGTGTAATCAGATCCCTTTCCATGATTAATATTTAATTGCTCAGCCTCAAACATGTGCTGCCAAACAGCAGCTCTGGTCTCTATCACTGGATGGCACATGGGCAGGTGAGGCAGGTGGAGGCTCCTTGCATGTATGAGCCCACTGCCAGGCACCGCCCTTTGGCTGCTGCAGTAATGCCCACGGGGAGTGAGGAACCTGGGTGGCAAGTAAGAGGTGCCCTCTTAGTTTGTAAGGGCAAGTAAATAAAATGTTTTGTCTGCCCTGCTGTCCATCAGTTCAGACATGGGCAGGGAGAACACGGTACTCCTGGGCCTCCGTTCTCAGCTCTGTGTCCTTAGCTCCGTGGGGTTACATCGTTCCTCAGAGACGGATGTGCAGAGCGAGCGAGGGCATGTGTGTTTGTGGGCCCATTTCAACACTGAAGGGCGCTGTTGGAATGAGAGGACTGGTGGTTTTCTTACCCTTGCTCAGCCTCTGGCCGCACCATCTGGTCTTGGGTCCTGGAGGTTGTGCTGACAGGGAGGCTCTTCCTCCTGAGAGCGCTGTTAAATTCACCTTCGCACGATACATGGAGGGAAGGCTGGTGAGGATGGTGCACTGGGCAGCAGTCTGTGTCCCACGTAGGCAAGTCGATGGGGAGGCCCTGGTGTCCCCACGGTGCACACTAGGCCCACGCCAGGGCTGGATACTGTCTTTCTTCTCCCCATTGGGCAGCAGTTGGGGCATAAACCTCTATTCCTGGTGACTATAAGCAGGACAACTGTGGTCTTCAAAGTTACAGATGTTTTTGTTTGTTCGTCTTCGGTGTTAGAGAAGCTGGAGGTCTTGCCAGTGAAGGAATTTGCTTATTAACTGGTTGAGTTGACAGGGCCAGTAGCAAGTCACTCGCTTTAAAACCGAGAAGTCAAGTGACATGGTGTGTCCACCAGAGACACAGGGTGTCTGGGAGGCAAGAATGGAGCAGTCAGCCAGCGTCTGTGGAATTCTAGAGTCATGTTGTGTGCTTGACCCCACAGCATGTAGGGCCAGGGGCAGAGTCGGGACCCTTCCCTCAGGCCACCTCCAGCTCCTCCCCCCGAGAACAGGCACAGCCTTTAAAAGAAATCACCTTGAATTTTTTAAAAACACACTTTGGGCTGCTTCTTTCAACCTCCCGTTTCTTTCAAGGTACTGAGCCCTCACCTCACTACCTCATTCTCCTCCTTGGATGGGTCACTGCGCACGTCCCCACTGAACAGGCAGGGGGCACCCCAGCCCCCCCACCCCGAGGCCTGGCGTCCCAGCAGATTGTGTTTCACAACTGAACCGTTTGCTTTGACTCCTTAGCCCACCGGAGATCCTCCTTCAACTTCGAGTGCCTGCGCCGGCAGAGCAGCCAGGAGGAGGTGCCCCCGTCCCCGGCCTTCCCCCACCGCACGGCCCTGCCTCTGCACCTGATGCAGCAACAGGTGAGCCAGCCGCCGGCCTTGGCCCTCTGCCTGCAAGTCCCCTGTGTGGGACGCACCCGCAGGAAACCGTCTTACCCTTGGCTGCCAGCCCGGGGAGGGAAGGAGAGAACCTTCCTGTGCACTCTGCTTCAGTCCTCTCACCCTGCCCAGGCGATCAGATCACGAACTCCAGCTTACGCGTAAGCAAACATCAGAGCAGGGAGGGGAGTGACCGAGCTGACCTTTGAGTCCAAGGCTGCCAGCTTCCAAAGCTGGGTGCTCAGCCTAGGTGCCCAGTCTTTTCTCCCCCACATCTCTCCTCCACAAGACAGAGCCTGATGGTGACTGCTTGGCAGATTCTGAATGGCTGCTGCTGCCCTTGACTTGCTCTGAGAGTTGTTCCTTTATTAAAACACATGTCTGAGCCCTCTGCGGTCCCCAGGGTGGCCCGGCCCGAGCCCACTCGTCTAGGCCATGCCTCACAGACAGGAACACAGGCTTCTCCCTCTCTGGAAAGAGCACCTCAGAGATGCTGTCCACTTAGGTGTGTGTGTTGCGGGGGTGGGGGCGGGATCGAGGAGAATTCAAATGTGTGCAAGCGCCGGTCTGCTAGTCTGCGGAGCTGGCTTCTCCCGCAGGTTTCCTCCAGGGCCCTGAGCACATGAATGCAGCTGCCATTTCAGTTCTCCTATTTGCCTTTTTGCTTCTCCACCTTCAATTTTTGTTAATTTTATGTCCATTTTGCTTTACGGTGGCCAGCAGACGTGGAGGTCTAGAGAGACTTGCGTGTGGCAGTGCCCTTGCCCTGCCTGACCTGCTCTGATGAGGCTCACATCTGTCCACATCTGGCTCTCGGTGGTCTTAGCAGTTTGACCAGGGTCCCGTGCTGGCCAGTCCTGTATGTTCCCTGGACTGGGCCTCGGCGTGCCCCTCTGCAGGGTGGGGCTGCCGGGGTCAGGGGGGCTGTTGCTGCGGTGCAGCTGTCGTGGAGGGAGTGGGGCTTTCCTCACGCTTCAGGGCAAACCGAGGAGGTGTGAGGCTCTGCGCCAGGGTAAAGAGAACCGGTTGTGTCTCCCTGCTGGTGCTGGCTACCATCAGTTTGCCATGAATTCACTTCCATATCTAAACCCAGTGTGACCTGGTGAGATGTTCAAACACCAGTGCTCGTTCATCTTCCCCGAGTCTTCATTTCAGAATTTGCAGCTGACTCCTACTTGGGAACAGTCACAGGAAATGCCTTATGGATTTGGGGGGGCAAAGAAAACAATATTGTAGAAAGCCACATTGTAGCTTGCAGTTACTCAGTTTTCTCCCTGTGCTAGTGTCCGAGGCCGTGAAAGTGATTCTTACGTGATCTGCTTGAAGGAAGCCTGAAGCCTGGACCTCCGGTCCTCCCACTGCCCCCTCTCTCCTCAGATCATGGCAGTTGCAGGCCTGGATTCAAGTAAAGCCCAGAAGTACTCACCGAGCCACTCCACCCGATCGTGGGCCACCCCTCCAGCGACGCCCCCATACCGGGACTGGACACCGTGCTACACGCCCCTGATCCAGGTTGAGCGGTCCGAGGCCCTGGACCAGGTCAACGGCAGCCTGCCATCCCTGCACCGCAGCTCCTGGTACACGGATGAGCCTGGCATCTCCTATCGGACTTTCACACCAGCCAGCCTGACCGTCCCCAGCAGCTTCCGAAACAAAAACAGCGACAAGCAGAGGAGCGCAGACAGCCTGGTGGAGGCCGTGAGTATGAGCCACGGGAGGGCGGCTTCGGCACGCAGCAGTAGAGCCGCGGAGAGCCCACGCAGCGGCGGCAGCTGTCAGGGCAGCGGCTCTCAGGCAGCGGGCTCCGGAGCTCAGTGGCCTGTGACCCTGGACACTGGCCGCTTCTCAGCTGTGGGGATGAGCCCTAAGGCCTGGATACAGAAACTGACCAGCACTGCCCAGTCTCAAAATTAGCTGCACGTACACAGCATCGTGTGTGTTGTCTCTAGTGGGTTTCAGTCTTGTTGGACCGCATGGTTTTTGAGGGTCAACATTTTCCAGGCCCAGGTTAGTTACATTTAGTCATTGCAGATGAGGAGGGGAGAAAATATGATTGCCTGAGTCTCAGAAGCGTGTCATGCGGTAAGTGCTTGAAGGGGGTTTCCATCAAAGCCATAGAATGCGTTCCCTGATCTTTCCTGTGCAGGTCCTGATCTCTGAAGGCCTAGGCCGGTACGCAAGGGACCCAAAATTTGTGTCAGCGACAAAATATGAAATCGCCGATGCCTGTGACCTCACCATTGATGAGATGGAGAGCGCGGCCAGCAGCCTGCTGAATGGGAACATGCGAGGCCGGGCCAACGGAGACCTGGGCCCCCTCGCTCACCGGCAGGACTATGAGCTGCAGGACTTCGGGCCCGGCTACAGCGACGAAGAGCCAGACCCTGGGAGAGAGGAGGAGGACCTGGCGGATGAAATGATATGCATCACCACCCTGTAGCCCGGGGGCGGGCAGGGGGCCAGGGAAAAAGTGCCTCGTAGTTAGGAAAGTTTCGGCACTAGTGTGGAGTCCACATTCAAGCAGACTTTTGTACAGGTGATGTCACGCCTCCAGGAAGCCATAAACCTGGTAGGGAGCGGCCCTGCACCTCGTGCTCGGCCCCAGCTGCGGGAAACAGTAGCCCAGCCCTCGGGGAGAGGACCAGCGAGGAAGTGGGGCAGGCCCTGCCTGCTTGCCCAGCGTGCACCGGGGCACCTCCCCACACCCGCCCGCCCGCAGGCACGGTGGGAAAAGGTTCAAGGTGATGACGATCACCATACCTGTCATTACCTCAGCCATCGGTCTAGCATATCAGACATTCACTGGGCCCAGCATATCCATTTTTAACCCTCCCCCCAATACACTGCTTCCTGGTTCCTGTTTAGCTGTTCTGCAGGACAGTGCGTCAGTCAGAACCCACCTACCAGCCGTCATCCTGAGAGGGGAGCAGGACCTTATACATGAGGTGTTCTGCTCTTGACGCCAGTTTACACCAGAGAGCATCACTCAGAGGGTCGGTTTCTGACTGTCAGGCTAAGGGCAACTAAGGGTAAACTGGAATAATAATGCACTCGCAACCAGGTAAACTTAGATACGCTAGTTTGTTTAAAAATTATAGATTTACTGTACATGACTTGTAATATACTATAATTTGTATTTGTAAAGAGATGGTCTATATTTTGTAATTATTGTACCGTATTTGAAATGCAGCAATATCCATGGGTCCTAATAATTGTAGTTCCCCACTGAAATCTAGAAATTAGCATTTTTACTCAGACCACACAGAAGTAGAAGAAATAGAGCCAATTCTCATTTATTCAGTGAAAATCTTTTGGGGGCAAAATTTTGAGTTCAAAAGAACTTGACACTATGGAGATTTTTCTAAAATATTTTGAGTCACTTTACATGAGACATGCCGGACGACTCTTCAGCCTTGTCTTTGGGCAAGAGTTCTGATTTGATAGTGTACCCTTCAGTCCACCATGGGTTGCAAGCGTCTGTCTTGTTTTGTTTTACCTTACCCTCTGCTACGTTCAGAACAGAGTAGGTCAGGCTGGTGACTCTGACCCTGTGGATTCACAGCTTTGGTTTTCTCAGCTGCCTCCTGCTCCCCGGGGTCAGCTTTGCATCCCTGGTACAGAAATCCTGTTCCCCTGCTCTGGCCCCCTGGGGACTGGTGATGCTGCTTAAGAAGTAAGGAGTGTGGGGCAGAGGGCGCACAGTGATCATCTACAGGGTTAGAATGTTAGGGTCTGTACAAATTGTATTGTTGCCTTTTTACAAAACATTGCTGTACTGTGTGTTCTCTTTGAGGGCTTTTATATGCAATTGAATGAGGGCTGAAGTTTTCACTGGAATGCACTCACACTCCGACTGTACTTCCTGATGAAAACCCACTTTTGGATCATTAGAACCATCAAGGCTTCTTTTTCTGTTCACAGAACTATGCCGACATTGTCAAGTTACCTTGGCAGGGATTCCCTGCAGTCAACAAACAGGTAGCAAATTTTGGTTCAAAAATTTTAAATACATAGACAACCTGTTAATGTCTTTGTTTTTTTGTAAATAACAACTTTGTTACAAAGACCTTACAAACCTCTTCTTAAGACATTCTTATTCCAGATCCAGGCAAAAACACACAAAGGTTTGTAAATGACTATTTCCTGACAAATGCTTTTTTATTAAAATGCAAAATGATCTTCAGAACAAACTGTGTAATAATTTCATTGTATCTGGGAGCTTCTCTTTGTGAAGAGCACCAGCGAGAGCTGCAGAAGAGGCCGGGAAGACGGTTGTCAAGAGAGGGTAGTGCTCCCCCTCATGGCTCCTTCGACCCCTGAGGTAACTTACTGCCAGCTGCAGGGAGCACGGCTTCTCCTTACAGGGCTAGCGCCGTCACCTCCATCACCTCCGACTCCGTGTCTCCGGTGGGTACTGGTCTCACTGACTTATTAGCAGGGCAGAATCGCCCTTCCTGGATGCAGTTTTCTGGTGTAAGTGATTTTTCCAGTCAGTATCTACAAACTGGCTGCATCACTCCCAAAATCTGTCTTCTTTAAGCCTGGTTCAACCTCTGGTCTAACATCGCATTTATTTTTTTGTAAGAAAAATTTGAAGTTGTAGAGCATGGTTTTCTTCTTTGTTTTAAGAAAGTTTGAAGATTTAAACTTGTTCCCTTTTTGGTTCCCTGCCAGGCTCCTACATAGAAGTACTTTTGTTGTGTGCTCAGCAACAGTACACATGGTTTCTTTAACATTGTTTTCATAATGTCACAAGATAGAAGTGGCAGCTACAATTTAACTGAATCTGCGATTTTTTGGTCTAGAATGCGGGGCCCCTGCTAGTCCAGGATGTGCGTCCCAGCTCTGTTCCGAGATGTTTCCAAATCAGCCCAAGGCAGGGAAGGGTGGTTTGTGACAGCCCCAGAAGCTTCTCAGTGGCTTTTCCCCACTTGATAAACCCAATTGCTGTGGTCCTAAGTTTGTGAAAGAAACCATGGCAGTTTTAGTTCATGTTTGTTGTTTTTTTTTTTTTTTTTTTTTTTTAACAGTCTTAAATGTCTCTGCGAGTTGCCCACATTCCTGAAGAGGTTATCATTATGACGAGCAGTTGATTTGTTCTAAAAACTGGTTAGCGGTAGAGGTGCTGCCTGGTACTTTCTGCTTCCTTATTAGCCTACCCAGATTCAGACTCCAGCCATGCTTACATTTGTTGGAAAGGTTTTTATTCCTCTAAGGTGTTTCTTCTCTGCTAGGGACGTGACAGGGCAGGCCAGGAGGAGCAGCAGGAGCCCTTGCTGCCAGCGTGAGAAGGGGGCTCTGCAGCATGCCCTGTGGGGGTGGTGGCAGGTTCTCAGGACAGCGTCTGTGGAGGGGGTACATTTTGTTCTGGACATGAAGAGAAAAGCATCTGGTGTTCAGTCTGCTGTTAAGTTGATCAGTGGAAATAGGAAACCACCTTTGGGTGGAGGAACATGGTTTGACTGGCGAGAACTGATTTGAATTTATCGAAATGATGTGCTGGAAGCAGAAAGGCTGTATGTGAAGCCACTAGAGTCTTGTTTCCAGGACCCGCCCTTCCAATATTCAGTGTTCCTGTACCCGTGTGTTCTGTCCCTTGTTTTACCAGGAAGGCCCCTCTGCCGATGTAGCAGCTTAAACCCCGGTTTCTTCTAAGGGGTCAGTGTTCCTCAGAGCCTGGCCACTAAGCACATACATAGCTTCCCATTAGGCTTTTTCAGCCTTGTTTTGAAGAGTGCACTCTTCCATTACTGGCTTTTTTGCTAAGGGGCTTACCTGACAAAGTGCCAGCTCCTGCCAGGCTGGGTGCTGAAAGGCCTCCATGTGCCCAACAGACCGCCCGACTGCAGCTTGTCTCCCCAACTTGAACCAGCCCCACCCTGGCTCCTCAACCAGCAGCCCTGTCTTTGTGGCCAAGGTTCCTCAGGACAGTCGGACATTCAGTCCACCCTGTTGTTGCCCCCGGGGCCACCGCTCCGTCCAGATAGCGGTCACACTCCCGTCAGGACTGGTGGGAGCAACTGCTTAAAGTCAGAATATGCTCTCCTGTGTCCAAACCCCAACAGCAGTTTTCCACTTTGGCTTCTGGATATGTGACACTCATGGTCTCCTTTGAAACTTCTGTCTGTAGCTAGACACGTGTGATGGAGTGGGAGAGGGGCCTGGGTGTGGTCGAGCTGTTTGCACACCACTTTGCTTATCTTACAACATAGCAACAGCAACAAACCAGCCATTGTCTCAGAACACCACAGGCCACAAATAACAGCCGTGTCACCGGCCATACCCACCCCAGAGAAGCAGGTCAGTGCCATGACAGTCATGCCCAGGACTCCCTACACTGCTCACTGTGGACTTCTTGGCACTCAGAGTGGTGGGGCTGGCTACCTGCACTCCTCTGCTGTTCCCGCACCCTGACAGGTGGCTCCCAGACACAGATGATGGTGACCGCGACCCATGGCGGTGAGGCAGGTGGGGAGTCTCTCAAGGAGAGAGATCTTGGCAGATTAAGAATTTTCTTTCTTGACCCTCCTTTGGAACAGAATGTAAAGAAAAAACAGGTAAGATTTAAATAAGAACTGCCTAAAATTTCTAAAGGAAAGACAGGCGTGACAGTTTTCTTCACCTTTCTCAAACATAAGTTGACACCGTCAGGCCTCTCAGCCACCTCAATCCACACTGACCCCCGGGGCAGCTTGAAATGCCTCATTTTCCTCCCATCGTTCTGGGCCCAGCCCTGCAATTCTCTTCTTCCCTGCCATGGATGGTGGCTTTGGAGAATTTTCAGAAAAATCAATCCAAATTGTATTTGGTTTTCATTACCTTGTAAGAATCATGTGGACACAACATACCACTTCAAAAATAAGTTCTCGGGTTCTGTTATTACATTATAAGAATTTTAAAGATCAAAGGGCTGTTTTAAATGCTACTTGAATGTTCCCCCCCCAGTATTCAAATCTTTGACTATTTTTCTTCCACTCAGCTGCATTTTTACAGGACCAGAATGCATAGTTTTACTTGCCTGCCCTTTCTGTCTTGGCTCCACCCTGGTCTGTTCCTGTGGACATCTAGAGAAAAAGAATTATCCAGTCCTGTCCACTGCCCAGTGTCTTCCAGGTGGAGAGGAATGCACCCCCTTGGACTAGCTGCTTCAACATGGACTGGTGGCCTGGTATGTGGAGGGTTTGCTCTGGGTTTGCTTCCTGGTAATAGGAACATCATTTAAAATGCTGCATCATCGTGAATGAAACCTGAGAGAGTTTCCCTTGGGAAGCTTCCCTCCTTGAACAATGTCCAGAAATCATTTCAGTGGAATGATCATGTTTAATAGAGCACCAGAACACTGGAGAGGTGGCCACCAGCCCCTGTGGGTGACCCGACCGAACACTAGTTCTTGCCTCAGTCTGAGAGTGAAGTCAGGAAGCTGCAGAGGAAGGAAAAGGCTGTGTTTCTTCTAGCAGGCAGCTCTCCCTCTGAACAGGGAAGCTGGCGGCTATGTGCATGCCCAACCTGAGCATGACTCTGGCCTCAGCCAGAAGCCTGTAGTGGAAGATGTCTTGGAAAACGCAGTGCAGGTCTAGCTGGGCACAGCGCCCGGCTCTGAGAATAGTTTAGATAAGGCATTTTGGGGCTTGCCTTCCCAGGGGGGCCTGGGAGAGGACCCCTTCCCTCAAGTCCAGCAGGACTGAGGCAGGCAGCAGGAGCAAGACCCTGGGTGGGACAGCACCATGGAATAAGACAGAGGATAGGGTGGGACTTAACCATCCACCTCTGCTGGCCTCCCTTCTGCTATTCCTCCAGGAGGCAGGGACATGCTGGGAGAAAGAAACCTGACTCACTGGCAGCACTGGTCTCATTTCCAGTTTGCAGCCATTGAATCCTAATGTTCTAGACAGTTTCAGGAAAGAGCCTTTGGAGCAAGGGCTAGGCTGGCCCACTTGGCTCATCAGGGGCCTTCTCAGACAATGACTGCCTCAGCGCTGGGTGGCCAGGCTCCCAGGCTTGTAGACAGGGACATCCTTGTCCTGGAGTGCTGGCTGGCCCTTAATGATGTCAGCTGTCTTCTCTGCGATCATGATTGTGGGGGCATTGAGGTTGCCGCTGACCACACTGGGCATGATGGAGGCATCGACCACCCTGAGGTTTTGCACCCCAAGCACCCTAGTCTGCGGGTCCACCACAGCCATGGGGTCGGAGGGCTGGCCCATCTTGCAGGTGCACGAGGGGTGGTAGGCACTGTCTGCTTTTGCCCTCACGAAGGCGTCGATCTCTTTATCGGATTGCACCTGGCTTCCTGGCTGGAGTTCTTTACCCCGGAATGGGGCCAGGGCTTTCTGTGCAAAAATTTCTCTGGTCAGCTTCACACACTGACGGAAGTCCTCAATATCATTTTCTGTGGAGAAGAAACAGGTGAGATGACTCCTCTGATCATGCTGGCTTTACAGGAAGATTCTCGGCATAGAGAGGTTTAGTTAGCCCCCTGAGGGGACAGTTTGAGAAATGGAGGTCTGAACCACCGGGTTAACTTGTCACCTACCAATAGGGAACTCTGCAACCAAGCAGAATCCCAGGATGGACAAAGTCTGCCCTGGGTTTAAATCCAGAGTTCAGATTTGCGTAAAAAAGCATGGCTGTGAGCACCTCCTGAGACGTTACTGGGCAATACCTGCCAGATGGGCAGTGCTCATTTTTGCTGCATGCAAAGAGGTAATAGCCGGAAAAATGCTATGTGAACCATATTTGTAGTTGGCTCCCCTTGCACTTCCTGGTATGGTAGATTGATCTGAAAGTTGCAAACTGACCCAGGGCACTAGGAAGCATGTCCAAATTTACAGCCTAGAATGATGGGGTGGAGCAAGGGAAGAGGGTGATGTGTCTTCAGAAAATGTGATCTGGAGAAAGGTTCAGGGACAGATAGGAGCCCCATAAAGGCACACATTCAGTGAATGATCCCACAAACCCAGGCCTTGGGGAGACAAAAGTGGGTGAATTACCTGTTGACAAGTAGTTGGGTTGGATCACGGGGTGGTCCTGAGGGTTGGCACTTCTCAGTTTGAGCCAGCCCACACTCGTGCCCCGCATGGTCCCCACATGCACCTAGAAGAACCCAGAGGAAGCAGTGACCTCCGTCAACCCCTGGACTAAGTAGCTTAGGCCCCGAGTTTCCTGTTGACCTAGAATACCTGCCCTGAGCTGGGTGCCTGCTTCTCCTTTCCATGCTCCATACAGACTGCTTCACTCCTGGTGCTGCCTCAGGGAGATTCTGGGCTCCCCAGTTCCACTCCCCATCCTGAAGACCTTGCTGCAGTCTGGAGAGTGCCGCAAGGGGACTCCGAGACCAGTGCTCACCTGATAAGCATCCTCCTGTGTGGGGGCCCGCCCATGGTCAATCACTTGGGATGGCAGGAAATGGAACTGGATGTCTGGATGGGGGACTCCAGGCTGGCTCCGGATGAACCCACCTGTTTCCAGATGGGCTGTGGCTCCATCACCTGAGGGTGGGAAGAAAATGGAGCAGGTGAGCAAGAAGGGTAGGCAGCCATGCCTGGTTTCCTCTCCTTTTCCTGGGCAGCTTCTCTAGTGCCTAGACCTAAGTCCTCAATTCTGTTTCCTCTTTCCCCCAGATGGGGAAAAATATCAGCTGCATGCCAAGAATCTTTAGTTTTGCCCCCTCTTGACTTCACACTGCCCCCTCAACTGTTAGTTGGGGATGGAAGCTCATGAGGAGTGGATGCAGGGCCAGGCTGGTTTCAGGCCTGTTTCCTGCAAGATTTACATCAGAAACCCAAGCTGCTCCAGCCTTACCTTCCTCTTCAGGCCCACCAGAAAATCTCATCAACTTTAGCTTTAAAATCAATCTTGAATCCATCTAACTTGGTTCCATCGCACTCACCCTGCCCTTTATCCAGCCCAGATCACTTCTTACCTGGCAGCTCTGGTGACCTCTCTGCTGGTGCTCCAGATACCTCTGTGCCCCCCGCAGCCCAGCCTTCACGTCATTGACCTCAGTCTTCTCAATGCCTGCTTGGCCCTCATGTCCCAGACCCTCCCCGAGTGCTTTCTCCTGAATGTGCTGCAGTCTCCCTGCGCAATGATTAGTTCTTCAAACACGAGATGTCTAGCTTCAGGGCCCCTACACACAATCTTCTGCCTCTCAGATCCCCTGCCACCATTCTCTAACATCCTGGTCTTTCCTTCACTTAAAACTTAGCATGTTTACTTGGTTTCTTTCCATTGTCCCCACTAGAATGTAGTCTTCAAGGAACTCCTGGCATCCTCCCTTCTAGCACAGTGCATGTGGGAGAAAGAGATGCTGACCGGATGAGGACTTCACAGCACCACTACCTTGGCAGTACCCTGACACTCGACTACAAAACAAACAAAATGCTGAGAAGTGGATGCTGGTTCTGTAGAAGTGTCCCCTTTGTGCTTTTTCTCCTAACTCCTTGAACCCCAGGTGTTAAACATCACAGGGCCATCCTAGTCCACCTGTGAGGAAGAACAGCACCAGCCTCCAAAGAGTCTCACCCCATGCCGGCCCTGTGCTAGTCAGCCAGTCCTCACACCAGCTTGTCAAGCAGGAATTGGAGAGACTGAGGTAAATGATATAACTTGGCTTAGAACTAACAACCCGAGGCCAGAGTCCTTGCTGGGCACCTCAGAAGGTGACTGTGCTGCCCATAGCCCCCCTCTTCCAAGCTCCTGGAGGAGCATGCCCACCTGTGAACTTCCAGAGCCACTCTAGACCAATCCGGACCTTGTTCAGGGGCTTCTGTGCCGAGTGGAGGGTGATGGGGCGGGTGCACGCCTGCTGAACGTACAGCTCCAGGTGGTCCTGCAGGTTCTGGCCAACTCCTGAAATGGAGGGTGTAGGTAAGAAAAATGACTAGCCAGAGGATTTAGCTTCTCCAGTCACCTTGGTCTTGAAAACTTCTCCCCCCAGGATGGTTCTTAGAGCCATCCAGGTGCCCCCTGTCAGCTCTGCCCTCGGTGAGGGCAGCACCCACGCTTCAAGTAGGCACTGCTTACTGAGAGGTCACTGATGGAGTGGCAGCCCCGTCCCTCACCACTGCCTTTAGGCTCATGGGAAGAATAGGACAGTTCTGAGGAGCAGGACTCCCATCCCCACTCCATGCTAACACAATAAATCATTTGGTTCAGCAGACACAGCCTTTGGGGAGCAGCAGAGAAAGGAGCTCACCAGGAAGGTGACACACCACCGGGATGCCCAGTTTCTTCAGGTCATCTGCATTCCCGATGCCTGAGAGCATGAGCAGCTGTGGAGAGTTGATGGCACCTCCACTCAGAATCACCTCTTGGCTGGCATAAGCCTGGAAGAGGGAAAGGATCATGTAGGTTACACTTCCCAAGGAGCCCCAAAATGTGGTCTCAGTATAATGTACCCAAATGCTGTGCCGGGATTGTTTACAGGCCTGTGAGGGAGGAAGAGATGTGTTAGTGTGTTCCTGTGTGAAAGCACCCCCCAGGTGCAGCTGTGGTGTCAATCATCAATAAAGTGTGGTTCTTACCCTGATAAAGTGCAGCGGTCTTAAAAACAGGGCTACAGTACTTGAATGCGATAAACCCAGGCATTCAAATTAAGCAAGCCATGTGCCAGACCTCCGAGTGGGATAGAGAACAAACCTGGCACACAGCACAGTGGGTGGAACTCGATCACACTGATGGTCCTTAAATTCTCAGTATGAACTAGAAAGGCGTGGAAGGTACTAGGGGGCTGCTCTGAGGTGCAGAGTGGCAGATGGTCATGCCGTCATCACAGTGCTGATAGGGGTGAGAGCATGACAGCTGGGCTCACTGCCCAGGCCCCCGGGGGAATTTGCTCACCCTGTGGCTCTGGCCGTTCTTGAGATACTCCACGCCCACTGCACGGTTGCCTTCAAACAGCACCCTTCTCACAAATGTCTGGGCCTCAGCAGTGAGGTTAGGGCGGCTCAGTGCTGGGTGCAGGTACGCACAAGCTGCACTCCAGCGTTTGCCTGCAAGACACAAAGGAGATTAGGTGCAGGGCCTGGGGAGGGGCTAGAAAAAAATTTGCCCTTCCCTTGACTCTGCAAGTTCAACCTTCAAAATAAAGCTAAAACCACCCAAGTCAAAGTCTTATCTACCAGGGCTACCTGACTAAAGGTGGGAAAACAGCCTTCACCCTCAGCATGTGACAGAGAAGAACAGGAGCTGTTGACTAAAGGGGGGAGAACCCCGTAGATGTGGGAGCCCTGGATCAATACTGGCTGGCCTTGCCTCAGCCCTGCTGGAAGCAAGGTGTTACTGCTCTCTGCCTCAGTTTCCCCACCTATAAGTTTCTAGAGGAGTTGGGCTCTTTAGCCAGACAGCTGACTCTCCTTTAATCACACAAACTGGGGGGAAGAGGGTGGGCCAGGGAATGCCAGAGTTGTCACCATTTCTAAGTCATTTCTCAATGGCTTTGGGTTGTATTCCTTGGCCTACAGGGGAGTGTGGTATCACATCCCTTCAACCTCCTATCTGCCCCAATTTAGCCACACTTATGGAACATATTGGGGACAGATAGGATGGTCTTTGATAGAACCAGAAAGATGGGGAATAGACTCACTACTACCTTCATGGATAGTCATGTCCATCCATCCGAAACCTTCTTGCTGGAAGCCATTCATGTCCTCAGTGAAGGGGTAGCCAGCCTGCTGTGCCGCCTCCAGGAATGCCTGGTGCAGTGGGTGGTTGGTCTTGCCCCGGGAAACACGCAGTGGCCCCTCACCACCACGGTATGTGTTGGCCCCCAGTTCGTGCCCTTGCGCTTTGCGGAAGTAGGGAAGGCAGTGTGCATAGTCCCAGCCCACAGCACCTTCTTGGTGCCAACGGTTGTAGTCCTCAGCATGCCCACGGATGTAGACCATGGCATTGAGGGAAGAGGAGCCTCCCCAGACCCGGCCCCGTGGCCAATACATCACACGACCGTCCATGCCTGCCTGTGGTTCTGTGTGGTAGCACCAGTTGTACTTGTCATCGCACAGGTTGGCCACGAGGGCAGCAGGCATATGGATCTTCCACAAGAGCCTCTTGCTCCCTGCAAGCATGTCCTTGGGCCCTGCCTCCAACAGCAGCACACGCTTGTCAGGGTCTTCCGTGAGCCGCCCAGCCAGCACACAGCCAGCGGAGCCTGCACCCACCACCACATAACTGTATTCGTCTCTCCTCGTGGAACTCACACTGGCCAGAGCACGGATGCCTGGGAGCCACTGCTGCGTCAGGGCTCCAAGTGGGCCCAGGCACTCTTGCCTCCAGCCTCGCAGGATGCACCACATGCTTTCAGCACAAGACTTCTTACATTCACGGAGGGGAATGTAATACTTCACTTTTCCTGCAACAGGAAAAGAGGCTTTAAAAATCTTCGCATGTGTATGCAGAATCAGCCTAAATCTGGAGCAGCCGTAGCAGTATAGCAAAGTTCATCAAGTGGCCACCCGGAGTGGGGAAGGGCAGGCCTGACTGCTCTTCCCTCCTCTGGGGAACTAGGAGGAAGCAGGTGGAATCTCAGCCTACAAGATCTATACCAGGATTGAGAAGCACAGAATTGGAGCAGGAGAGAGGTCCCTCTCCAAACTTAGTGGGAATTCCCCCATAACGGCTGTCCTGTGTGATCTGTGAGTGAACCTAAAGGCTGGGCAGGAGTCTGTCAGCTGGAATGCAGGTGAGGTAAGGGGGTTCCAGATGGAGAAAGAAAGCAGGGCTCTTGTACTTATTTCTCATCTATTCAAGATGATTACTGAGCTGCTCCCATATGACAGGTACTGTTTTGGCTTTAGCAATACAGAAAAAAAGAAATCTGCCCTCAGAACTGATGGGTCTGGGGCCACAGAGGCAATGAAGACTGAAGTAATTGAAAGAAGGTCAGAGTAAGAGATTCAAGACTTAGAGTTCAAAACCTTTGACCTGAGGCCATAGAATGCTCTAGAGGGTTTTCTGGCAGGCAACAGAGTCAAAGCTGCAATCTTCAAATATCAATATTTAGAGTGTTAGAGTTTAAACAAGGAAATGCCAATAAAGAGTCCTTCCACAACAATATTCAAATCACTCCCAACCAGTTTAGTGCGCAGAGGTAAAAGAATCAGGGTATCCAGTAAAGTCCACCAAAATAAGAACATCTGACAAAGCTTCATCCATGAGGCTCAGCAACACAAGGCCTGTCCTGGACTAACAAGGTGTGAAAACCAATAAATTTCTGATAATTTCCTTTGCCCCTTCCATAAGCCTGCGCCAAGTAACAACAGGAGGCTGTCACTGGATGCAGGGTAAAGGTAAGAGTACAGAGAAAAGTCCTGGCCCCTCTCCCCATGCAAGCACAGAAGAAAGGTGTCTGGGCTTCCTGAAAGCTAAGTGTGAGGGAGGGACACTGAGAACCCCCCAGTGCTCTAGGTCCTAAACTAGCACAAGATAGCACCACTCAGCTCCTAACTACACTGACTCAACATTCCATAAAAATGAGCTGACAGAAAAAAGGGTATACCTTGGTCTCTATTGTCCTGTTATACACAAGGTCTAACATTCAATAAAAAATTGAGACAAGGGGCCTCCCCTGTTGGCACAGGCAGTTGAGTGCAGCACTGTGAAGATGTCCGCAGCTGTCTGCACTGCAGGTTCGATCCTGGCTGGCCAGGGAGATACCCACATGGCATGGCAGACCTCTCCTGTCACGTCTGCTGCTTTCCTCAGCAGTGTATTTCGGTCCTTCTGCCTGTTCTGCTCCCCACTCTGTCTCTGGTGAACCCTCTCACCCTCCTGTGCCTCTGGTCTGTATGAATAAAGAAATCTTTAAAAACAAATTAAGAGGGCCTCCCTGGTGGCGCAGGGGTTAAAACACAGCCTATGAAGCAATCCACGGCCACTGCAGCATGAGTTCAATTCCCGGCCGGACAGGGAGAAACCTACATGGCGGGACAGACCTCTCCTGTCTCGCCCGCTGCTCCCCTCAGCAGTGTACTTTGGTCCATCTGCCTGTTCTGTTCCCTGTTCTGTCTCTGGTGAATCCTCTCACCCCCCCATATCTCTGGCCTGTACCCCAATTCTTAAAAAAAACAAGAGACAAAAAGACACCCCCCCCCAAAAAAAAAGATTCATTACAAAGAGATAAAGAAGTTAACAGAAGCAGACCAAGGAACAACCCATCGAGATGTCAGAACTATCAAATATACCTTAAAATAACCAATTTTAACACTAAAAGAGAAGCCAAAGCAATTCTGAGAAAAAGAATAGTAGTATCACAGTCCAAGACTTTATGCTACACATTTATAGTAATCAAAACAGTATAGTATCAGAATAAAGGTAGACACAGAACAATGAAATAGAATTGAGAATCCAAAAATAAACCCACACTTTTATGGACAGTGCACATATTACAAAGGTGCCAAGAGTATACAGTGAGGGAAAATTGGACAGCCACATGCAACAGAATCAAACTAGGTAACTATCTCACACTCACACAAAAATTTACTCAAAAGGAATTAAAGACTTGGATGTAAGACCTGAAACCATGAAATACAAAGAAGAGAATATACACCCCACAACTTTGGATTCAGGGATGTCTTTGGGGACTCAGTGGCCAAGGAAACAAAAACAAAAGTTAGAAAAATGTGCTACATCAAACGAAAAAACTGCACAGTGACAGAAACTGCCATAAAATGAAGAAAAAAAAAAAAACACCTTCTGAATGGGAGAAAAATCTTTGCATTTCATACATCTGACAGGGGGCTGATATCCAAGATCTATAAATCTCTCATACAACTCAACATAAAGAAAATAAATGAATTAAAAAATGGGCAGGAAAACTAAATAGACACTTCTCCAAAGAAGACATACAGATTGCAATGCACAGGAAAAAATGCTCATCAACACTTTGTCAGGGAAATGTAAATCCAAATCACAATGAGATACTACTTCATATCCATGAGAATGGCCTGTATCAAAAAGACTAGGAAAGATTAGAAATAAGTGTTATGGATATTAAAGCTTCCATATCAAGGGCATGGAAAAACAGGAACCATCATACACTGTTAGTAGAAATGTTTATTGCTTTAGCCCTAGGGAAAACAGTATGGAAGTTTCTCAAAATACTTAAATTTATCATATGATCCAGGAATTCCATTTTAGCTATCTATCTGAAGAATGCAAAAACAACTAATTCAAAAGGATATATGGACTCATATGTTCACTGGAGCACTGTAATAGCCAAGTTATGGAAACAACCAAGTGTCCAATGACAGATGAGTGGATTAAGAAGGACTGGTGTGTGTGTACATATACACATACATACATACACACAAAGGAATGCTACTTAGTTATAAAAAAAATGAATGATTTCCGGGTCTCCCCAGTGGCGCAGTGGGTTGAGCGCAGTTCTGTGAAGCTGTCCGCAGCCTCCACAGCCTCTGCAGTGTGGGTTTGATTCCTGGCCAGCCTGGGAGATTCCCACATGGTGCGGCAGACCTCTCCTGTCTTGCCCACTGCCCCCCTCAGCAGTGTATTTCGTCAGTCTGCCTGTTCTATTCCCTGCTCTGTCTCTGGTGAATCCTCTCACCCTCCCGTGCCTCTGGCATGTATCCCTGTGCTTGTATAAATAAATAAATCTTTTTTTAAAAAATGAATGATTTCCATTAGTAACAATGTGGGTGGAACTAGAGGGGATAATTCTAAGCAAAATAAGCCAGAAGGAGAAAGACAAATAACAGGTCGTTTCACATATATGTCAACTATAGAAAAACAAAACAAGGAACCAAACCAGTAACAGACCCTAGAAGTCTGACTGCAGAGTTGAGTCTACCAGAGAGGGAGTGGGAGAGTAGAAAGCGAGGTGTGGAGGGGCCTAATAGACTATGATGGAGGACTATGGGTGCCTTGGTAGGTAGTGGTTGTGGTGTGGTAAGATACATCTGAAGATGTGTGATCTTAAAGCTCTGAATCATATACAGTGTTGTAAATCAATATTACCACAATGAGAAACTAATACAATAAAAAAGAAAAAAATGACACCTAGGTACAATCATAATCAAATTGCTGAAATCTCACAATAATGAGAAAATCATCAAGGTAGCCAGACACCCCGCCCCCCAAAACAAACATTATATACAAAGAAATAAATACAAAAGTGACAGCAAACTTCTGATTAGAAAACAGTCAATCCAAAAGATAATGGAAGGATAATGACAACTCTAAAGTACTGAAAAGGGGTTGGGGGGAGAATTAAAAAAAAGCAGTAAGCCTAGAACTCTCTATATCCAGTGGATATATTTTCAAATATGAAAGAGAACTAAAGATGTCTTCAGAGAAACAAAACCCAGTGGACCAGCAAATTCAAGATATGTTAAAGAAAGTTCTTCAGGTAAAAGAAATATGAAACCAGATGGATATTTCAATGTATACAAAGAAATGAAGAACAATAGAAATTCATTTCCCATGACTGCTATAACAAATGACCATCAACATGACAGCTTAAGACAATACAAATTTGTTCTCTTACTGCTCTTGAGATCAGAATTACGAAATCAGTTTCACTGAACTAAAGTTAAGTTATTGGTAGAAAGGGTTCCTTCTAGAAGCTTCCTGGGGAGGATATGTTTCCTCATCTTTTCTAGAGTTTGGGAGCTACCTGAACCCTTTCCTTGCATCACTCCAACTGCTTGCAGCTGGTACCATATCTCCTACTTCTGTAGTGATAGCTCCATCTCATTAGGACACTTGATTACTCAGTAAGTGATCTGAATAAATCTAGGACCACCTCTCCATTTAAAATTCTTAATCTCACCTGCAAATTCCTCCTTTCAAATTAGGTAACATATTCACAGACTCTAGAGCTGGGATATAGCTATCACAACAGGCCACTGTTAAACCTACTAAGGTAGGTGAATACAACATACTTTTAAAAAAAATAGAATTGATGAAAGCAAAAGTAGTAAAATATATTACAGGGTTTATGATATATGTAACATTAAATTGCATATAATAGCACAAAGAATGGAAGAGGGAGAAACAGAAGTATACCTTTGCAAGGCTTTTAAATCATACATATAGCATATAATATATGTATGAATGCTGTGATTAAATACATATATTATAAACCCTGGCACAGTCACCAAATTAAATAATTACAGCTAATTAGACAACTGTGGATATAAAATCATTTCAAATAATCAAGAAGTAGAGGAATCTGAGATAGGACAAATAAAGATTAAAGAGCAAAAATTGTGTATTTATATCTATATTAATTATTGCATTAAATGTGAATAGTCTAATACTTCAATCAAAATGCAGATTGTCAGATGGGGTTAAAAGAAAGCAAAACTCAACAACATACTGTCTCTAAAAACA